GGGGGGTGTGGTAGGGGTGGAGAGGATGATGGATGAGCAGATCAGAGGCAGGAGTGGACGACAGCCTGCAGCAGATGGGACAGGCCAGACAACTGCCCTCCTCCCAGGGCACTGACAAGCACATGCCGTCAATACTGCCACCACCCAGGGCCCTGCGATCACACTGGGCTGAGGGCCAGGAGGATGCTCCCACCATCTTTCAGATGGGAAGTCAGAGGCAAGAAGACAGAGGGGAGGAAGTTTTCTCCTGGGGACCCAGCCCCCCTGCCACTCCCCCCATGCCACTCCCCCCACACCACTCCCCCCACGCCACTCCCCTCCCACCACTCCCCCAACGCGGTCCCACCTGACAGGCTGCTGGGACTCATCTGCTGCGTCAGGATGGCCTTGAGCTTCTTGATCTCCTCCTGGTACTCGCGAAGCAGTGCATCCTTGGGGTCCTCGTTGATGTGCGGCTTGTTCCTGATGTTTTTGGCCCGGTTGGCGTAGCGCAGCGTGCTGAGTGTCTCATCGTAGTTGTTGTCCGCAGGCGACAGGCAGGCCACCATCAGCGTCTTGGTGTTGCCACCCAGTGAGTCCTGCAGCAGCCGTGTCAGCTTCGAGTCCCGGTAGGGGATGTGCTTACAGCGCCCGTCCACCAGCGCCGAGATGACGTTGCCCAGCGCCGACAGTGACAGGTTGATCTTGGTGGCCTCCTTGAGCCGCTCGCCAGTGGCCCCGGTCTTGGACTGCCGCTCGCTGCCCGCCAGGTCCACCAGGTTCAGTTTGCCCGCCCGGAGGTGGTCCTTGCCCCACTCATCTGCGGACAGACCAAGCAGCGGGGTGAGGGCCTTGGTGAGCCCCATGTATCAAGGGCAATCAGCGCCAGGCACGGGGTGCTCACCGCCACCCACCGAGGGTTTCCCCTCAGCTGCAAGGAAGCCCCAGGAAGCGGGTGCTATTGTTTTATTATTTTTTGAGACAGAGTCTTGCTCTGTCACCCAGGCTGGGGTGCGATGGCGCAATCTCCTGCCTCAGCCTCCCGAGTAGCTGGGATTACAGGCACCCACCAGTACGCCCGGCTAATGTTTGTATTTTTAGTAGAGGCAGGTTTCACCATATTACTCAGGCTGGTCTTGAACTCTTGACTTCAGGAGATCCACCCACCTCAGCCTCCCTAAGTGCTGAGATTACAGGTGTGAGCCACTGCACCCAGCCTGCAAGTGCTATCATTGTGCTCATCTTACAGATGGGTAGACTGAGGCTCAGAGAGGACATGGAACTTGCCCAAGGTCACACAGCTGCTAAGAGCTGTAACCACCATCAGAACCCAGGGCAGGCTGCCTCCAGGAGAAGGGGCTGGAGCTGCAGACCATTCTGGGTGCAACAGGGCTCCTTCTGGCTGCCACAGCTGCTCTCAAAGGCTTCCTGCAAGGTCAAAGGTGGAGAAGGCAGGGGTGCAGCTGGACCACTAAGGAGTTATGTCCTTCGACGCAGAAAACATCTGCTTTGGAGACTTCCTGGCCCAGTTCCCAACCCAGTCCTGTCTTCTCCTTGCTGCGTGGCACTAGCAGGGCCACCTACCTCCCGGAGTCTCAATTCCCCACATCAACAAAATCCGACTAACAATGGCTCCCCATTAGGGTCTGTTTGTGCGACAAAGCAGCAGATGTGAGAAGCCACGTTTGCTCTTTTCCACTTGCCAGCATCATCAGCTCACAAAGCCGCTGCCTCTGTGCTGACGTGCAGGGCTGTGCAGAGCTCCGCAGAGATGCTTTGAAGACAAAACAGGATGGAGCTGACGGTCCCCCCCATCCGTCTCTCGCCTGAGTCACTGCATGGCTGAAAGACAGATCGAGGCCTTGCCTTTTCCTACACGTGAGCTAATGTCGGCTGGGGCTGGTGAGGAAGCCTCTGAGTCTATCACTGGATGTGCTCTTGCACAAACCCTGATGTGACTCTTCTTTGTAACTTCTGAGCATGTCAGGTGTGATTCTGCAGGTGCCAACTCTTCACCACCTATATGTAAACTGCGAACTGAAATACGGACAGAACCACTTCTGGGTATAGACCTCAGTCTACGATTCTCAGTAGGACTTCTCTTTTTTTCCTTTGAGACAGGGTTTTACTCTGTCGCCCACGCTGGAGCGCAGTGGTGCGAACCTAGCTCACTAGAGCCTCGAACTCCTGGCTCAGGCAATCCTCCCGCTTCAGTCTCCTGAGTAGCTGGGACCACAGGCATACATCACCATACCCAGCTAATATTTTTCTTTTTAGAGATGGGGTGGCCCTATGTTGCCCAGGCTGGTCTCGAACTCCTGGCCTCAAGTGATCCTCCCGCCTTGGCCTCCCAAAGTGCTGGGATTACAGGCCTGAGCCACTGTGCCCAGCCCAGTTGATTTTTCTTTAGTTGACAGGTTGGTGCTCTGGAGAAGTAAAGCAAACGGACGGCGTATTCGCACAGGGGCTCTGCTGGGCCGGCACACGGCGGGTGTTCATTTCCCCTGAGAACAAACCCCGCTTCTGCAGCGACTGCAGCTGTCCTGGCTGGGCAGCCCTGGGCATCAAGGATGGCAGGGGAGCCAGGCACGGGTTGGTAGCATTGGCTCAGAAGACCAGGTTTTTTTCTTTTGGCTTGTTTTTGAGATGGAGTCTCACTCTGTCGCCCAGACCAGAATGGCGCCATCTCGGCTCACTGCAGCCTCTGCCTCTAGGGTTCAAGTGATTCTCCTGCCTGAGCCTTCTGGGTGGCTGGGATTACAGGCAGACGCCACCACACCCAGCTGGTTCTTTACGCTATTAGAAAAACAACAGGCTGGGCAAGGTGGCTGGATCACCTGAGATCAGGAGTTCAAGACCAGCCTGGCCAACATGGTGAAACCCCATCTTTACTAAAAATACAAAAATTAGCTGGGCGTGGTGGCACATGCCTGTAATCCCAGCTACTTGAGAGACTGAGGCACGAGAATTGCTTGAACCCAGGAGGCAGAGGTTGCAGTGAGCCGAGATCACACCACTGCACTTCAGCCTGGGCAACAGAGCGAGACTCTGTCTCAAAAACATCAAAAACAAAAGGCCAGGGGCAGTGGCTCACACCCATCATCCCAGCACTTTGGGAGACGAGCGAATTGCTTAATCCCAGGAGTTCAAGACCAGCCTGGGCAACATGGCGAAACTCTATTTGTACAAAAGAACACAAAAATTAGCCAGGTGTGGTGGTGCATGCCTGTGGTCTCAGCTACTTCAAAGGCTGAGGTGGGAGGATCACCCAAGCCTGCAGTGGAGGTTAAGGCTGCAGTAAGCTGTGATCACGCCACTGCACTCTAGCCTGGGCAACAGAATACAACCCTTTCTCCAAAAAAAAAAAAAAAAACCACCAAAAACAGCTGGGTGTTTGGTGTCGTGTGCCTGTGGTCCCAGCCACTCAGGAAGCTGAGGCAGGAGGGATGCTTGAGCCAGAAGTTAAAGGCTGCAGTGAGCTATGATTGCCCCACCGCACTCCAGCCTAGGTGGCAGAGTGAGACACTGTCTCTAAGAAAAGGACTGGAAGGAACTTGGAGTCGCCCGTTTGGGAAGCTCTGTGCAGCACGGACCAGGAGCCCTAACTGCATTTGTCATCTTTGCTCTAGGACCCATTCCAGGGAACCGAGTCTGAGGAGATGACTCTCAGACGAGAGAAAGGTTTGTGCACACGGATGTCCATCATGGCATGACTTCCAGCACTGGGAAACTGGGAACCACTGGTTGCGGACTGGCTGGAAAAGGGCAGGATCCAAGCCACCACACATGGTCATGAAGACACGATGACAGTAAAGCAGAAATGCTCAGTGACGGCAAGGGACATGAAACCGGGGGAAACCTACGTGGCATAAGATTTCAGTTGTGTTTGAAACTTTCAGAGGAAAAAAAGGATCAAAAGAAAATATGGGCTGCGTACAGTGGCTCACGCCTGTAATCCCAGCAGTTTGGAAGGCGGAGGTGGATTGCTTGAGTCCAGGAGTTCGAGACCAGCCTGGGCAACACGGCAAAGCCCTGTCTCTACAAAACAGAAAAGTTACCTGGGTGTGGTGGTGCGTGACTGTAGTTCCAAGCTACTCGGGAGGCTGAGGTGAAAGGGTTGGTTGAGCCTGGGAGGCCGAGGTTGCAGTGATCTGAGATTGTACCACTGCACTCCAGCCTGGGCAACAGAGCAAGGCAGTGCCTTATAAATAAATAAATACAAATTATTTATATTACATACGTACACACGTTGGTTTGTTTTTTTTTTTTTAAAGGCCAGGCGCAGTGGCTCACACTTGTAATCCCAGCACTTTGGGAGGCCGAGGCAGATGGATCACTTGAAGCCAGGAGTTTGAGACCAGCCTGGCCAACATTTTTAGCAGAGACCAAACCCTGTCTCTACTAAAAATACAAAAATTAGCTTAGTGTGGTGGCGCATGTCTGTGATTCCCAGCTGCTCACAAGGCTAAGGAAAGAGAATCACTTGAACCTGAGAGGCGGAGGTTGTAATGAGCCGAGATTGTGCCACTGCACTCCAGCCTGGGCAACAGAGCTGTCTTAAAAAAAAAAGAAAAAAAAAAAAAACAGTGTGTGGATATATGTAATAAACTATTATAAATAAGAATAATTATATAAATATAATGCTTAAATGTTAGCAGTGTTTAGATGTCAGAACCATGAGCAACTGTTCCCTACCACTCTCTACTTTCTTCCATCGTCATTGAGCTTGCATTATTATTATGATTTTTTTTTGAGATGGAGTCTCGCTCTGTAGCCCAGGCTGGAGCGCAGTGGCACGATCTTGGCTCACTGCAACCTGCGCCTCCTGGGTCCCAGTTCAAGCAATTCTCCTACCTCAGCTTCCCAAGTAGCTGGGATTACAGGCACGAGCCACCATGCCCAGCTAATTTTTGTATTTTTTAGTAGAGATGGGGTTTCACCATGTTGGCCAGTCTGGTCTTGAACTCCTGACTTCGTGATCTGCCTGCCTTGGCCTCCCAAAGTGCTGAGATTATAGGCATGAGCCACTGCGCCCGGCCAAGCTTGCATTATTTTATAAAGTGAATGTGCAGCCAGCCTGCCTCATCCTTCAGACCCTCTTGCAAAGACCAAGAGGTGCCCCCCAAACCCACTCCCTCCTCCTCCCTCTTGATCTGTCCTCAGTTGCCCTGGTCTCTGCCCCTCCCCAAGCTGCAGCACTGAGGCTGTGACCACACTGTCCCACCCCTCCCCTATCAGTACCCCCAGGACACTCAGACTGATGGCCTCATACCCAAGCAAGCATTAGGGCTTGGCCCAAAGCCAGGTCATCACACCAGCTGGGCAGTGTGTCCAAGAGGTTCCATCTACCCAGGCTTTGACCCTGGGTGGTGCAGTGGTGTGATCTCAGATCACTGCAACCTCGGTCTCCCGGGCTCAAACAATCCTGTCACCTCAGCCTCCTGAATAGCTGGGACTACAGGCATGCACCATCACACCCAGCTAATTCCTGACCCTGATCCCTGGGTCAGGGATCTCTCCGGAATTCTGTTCCCAGTTGGGCTGAGGCCACCTCCTGCTCCACTGCTCTCTGGAGTTCTAGTCATGACGGACCACAACGTGGAGGCAGCTGCAGTATTCCTGGGAAAACCCAGATATCAGGGAGACCCGGGTTCAAATCCCAGCTCCACCAATTAGCAGTGGTGAGACAATTGCTCGAACAAGCAATCACTTTGCCTCTCAGAGCCTCTGTTTCCTCATCTATAATATGAGGATTCTAGTGCCTGTCTCTAAGACTGTCATGGGATTTAAATGGAATGAAGGGTATAAAGGGTTTGACACTGCAGATGGCCAATAGGGGCCCCAAAATAAACTTGGGTTTCTTTCCTTCCTCTTCTCTTTCTCAGCAGCTCTTCCAGAAAAAAAATAATATTGAGATGACTGAGGAGCAGAGAATGTTAGAGAGAGTGGAGAATCCACGAGGTCTGTGTGATACACACTCTGGAAGAAGAACCCAGGATGGAAGCCAGGCTCTGACACTAGTTCCTAGTTGGGTGACCTCGATTTCTTCATCTGTAAAATGGGGATGATTCAGTATCTACCTCATGGGAGTGCTGTAGGAGTAAGTATTGCAGGAGTAATGCATTGTTGGGCACACTGGCCGGGGCGCGCTGGCTCACACCTGTAATCCGAGCACTTTGGGGGGCCAAGGTGGGAGGATCGCCTGAGCTCAGTTCAAGACGAACCTGGGCAACATAGCAAGACCCTATTTCTACAAAAAATCAGCCGGGCATGGTGGTGTGCCTGTAGTCCCAGCTGCTCAGGAGGCTGAAGTGGGAGGATCACCCAATCCTGGGAGGCAGAGGTTGCAGTGAGCCAAGATCACCACTGCACTCCAGCCCGGGTGACAGAGTGAGACCTTGTCTCAAAAATAAATAAATAAAAAAAACGGGTCTGGCACACAGTAGGCACTCAGTGTTGGCTACCAGTGTTCCATTGTTGCTGCTGTGTATCCTGGGAGCACGGGTCCCAGAATCCCAAGGACCCTCTTGGCTTTCCTCTAGGCAGTTAGAGCGTCTCTACCCACTTTCCAGGGGGCTCTTGCGGCCCTGAGAGGTGGCGTGCCTTGGCTAGTGGGAGTGAAAGTATGGCTGGGTCATCTGTCCACGCCCTATCTGCCCCCCGCAGCGGCCTCACGTACCCACGGCAGAGATCTCGATGTTGATGGTGAAGATGGAGTGGGAGCGTGAGGAATCCTTGTTCATCAGCGTGTAGCCGACAGAGCGGTTCTTCCAGCCGGCCTCCATGATGCGCTCGCACTGGGCCACGCTGTGCACCGTGTGCATGGACAGCCCCTTCACGTACACGCCCTTCTCCGGGTGCTCCTTCAGCTGAGGGAAGAGCAATTGGTGAGGGGTGGAACCTCCAGCCTCCAAGGGTTCGGGCTAGGGATAGTCAAGGAACCAGAAAGAAGGGCCCCATCCAGACTGCCCTTGCCCTCCTGCAGTGCAGGCCAGCACCTCATGCGCCTGTCACAGGGAGGGGGTGCGTTCCAGGCCCCGCCAGCCTCAAACCTACCCCTGCCTTCTACTTGCTGTGGGACCTTCAGCCAGTGACAACCTAAGCCTCAGTTTCCACATCTCCAAAATGGGCATGAGACAGCTACCTCATTAGGGATATGGTGAGGAATCCGTAAAATAAGGCACATACAATGCTTAGCATGGTGCCCAGCACCTAAGTGCCCATAGATGCCAGCCACTGTCTGTGCTGTTGTTGTGAGTGCTATGATCACAAAGGCAGTTTTCTGTTTGGGAGCTTCAGATCTCAGGGGCTGACCCTGTCATCGCCCACGGGCCCTGAGCACCGTCTCCCTTCATCCTGATGACAGGGCTCCAGATCCCTTCTGCCTCGGCTCTAGAACCACGGGAATGTCCCCAAACCCTCAGATCACAGGTGAACGGCCACTTGTTGCCCAGAACCCCTGCAGGCTCGCAGCTCAGAGGCCCCCAGCCCTCAGGGCAGTGGCAGCAGTAAATTAATTTATCTGATGGCTCCCTGCTGGCTTTCCAGCCAGCCAAGTCACTTAGTTGCTGACACAGAGCTGTGAAACACAGTATTTTTCAAGTGTGAGAGGAAATAAAACCACTCTGTCACAAGAGCAGAATGAATTTGTCTGCCAAGTGGCCCTGCAGGTTGGAGCCACCCGAGGCTCAGCTGCGGGCAGCTTTGTGGGGCTTCCACGTGGGCTCAGGCCCGGGCTGTGGGAGGGGCGTGGGTGGGGGTCAGGGGACAGGCACAGGCTGGTCCTATCTGCTCAAGCGTGGAGAAACAGCCAAGCCCCACCAACGGACTGGGCTTCATGAAACAGATGAGCAACTGACGCCCAGAAAGGGGAGGCGACTTGCTGAAGGTCACAGCTGTTAGTAGGGTCACAGCTGATGGAAGTCTCCAGGGCAGGGTAAGAGAGAGGCGGGAGCATCCTGCAGTGACTGAAGCTTGAGATGACAGAGGGCAGGTCTTGGCCCAGGCTAAAGGTAAGGAGGGAGCCCAGAGGATGGAGGGCGTGTGGCCCGGGGGCACCCTGCACGCCTGTTCCAGGTGGAAACCCATTCTCAGGCTTGCTGATTGGGGAGGTTCATTTGTCTTTCTAGGCCTCGATTTTCTCTTCTGTAAAATAGGGATGATAACTCCTATTTCTACAAGATTATTATGACTATTAGGAAGAGAACAGATCTAAAGAAAAGTTCTGTGGGTACTTAGTGGGGGCTCAGTGAACAGAGGTCACAAAGAGGACGAAGTCGCTGTCTGAGGCCTGAGCAATCCAGGACACAAACCCTGACCCAAGGGGACTCCTGCCATGATATTTTCAGGCCCAGGAAGGCTCCCTGTTCCCAACCTTGTGATGGCCTCAGGGGTCCTCCCCCCACCTCGTTCCCAACCCCACTCCACCGCTGATGCCTGGGGAGGTGCTGAGTGACAGCCCCCAGCTGCGCACCAGGCTCCTTGGTAACTGCTCATCTCTGCTGCGGAGGCCAGAACCAGGTCACCATGGCAACCAGCTGGGATGCGGCAAGGATGAGACAGGGGCACATGGCAGGAACGTGTCTGTGGCTGCCATGGGGAGGGGAGCCTTTGACACTTTGCCCAGACATGGGTAGGGAGAACCCACTGGAGAGACCCTCTCAGGGGTCACCAGATCAGGGTGACAGTAGTTTATAGTGGCTGGGGGAGTGGTGGAACTCTGCTTCTCCAAACTGCTTGCTGCCCTTAGGTGATGTAATAACCTCTGATTATAACCACCATCAGGCCCTGCATTAAACATGGGTTAACAGAGGGTGTTATGGAGTCCCCAGATTCAAATCCCAACTTCACTCTTTTTTTTTTTTTTTTTTTGAGACGAAGTCTCACTCTGTCTCCCAGGCTAGAGTGCAGTGGTGTGATCTTGGATCACTGCAACCTCCGCCTCCCGGGTTCAAGCAATTCTCTGCCTCAGCCTCCTGAGTAGTTGGGATTACAGGAGCCTGCCACCATGCCCAGCTAATTCTTATATTTTAGTAGAGATGGGGTTTCACCATGTTAGCCAGGCTGCTCTTGAATTCCTGCCCTCGTGATCCTCCCACCTCAGCCTCCCAAGTGCTGGGTTTACAGGCGTGAGCTACTGCGCCTGGCCCATCTTCACGCTTTACTGACTGTGTGTCCTTGGGCTGGTCTTACTTAAGCACATACAGCCTCGGTTTCCTCATCTGTGATAAAGGATAAAAACGGTGCCTCCTCCTGGGGCGGCCAGGGGGTTTACATGAGAGCCATCTGCACATCCTCCACGAGGGAGCATGTCAAAAGCCCAGTGACCCCAGAGAGTTTCAGGGAGCGCATCTGTCACTGCAGCCCCCAAGGCACCTGGCTCAATAGGCCTGAGGCCCGTGGCTCAGCTGCACCAAGTGCCCATGGCTGCCAGCCTTAGCCCCTCTAGGCCCGGGTTACTGAGGCCTTTCTAGGGTCCAGGGCAGTGAGGAAGGGAAGGAGGGCTCCCTGCTGCTCCAGTGCAGGCTAGCGGAAGGCTCGCAGGGGGCCAGGGGGCCCTAACCCCACAGCCTGGCTTTCTGGGGCTGTCATGTGGGAGCAACACCCTCTGCTGCCTCCTGTCTCTGCTTCCCTGTCTGGGGGCTCAGCTATGATTCAGCTATACCAGGAGAGAGAAGGCAATAGAAAAACTCCAGGTGGAAGGCTGGAGGATCCTGCATGAAAAACACCAAGCGGCTGGATGCCTGTGGTCGTGCGTGCCTGTAGTCCCAGCTACTGGGGCGGGAAGGGGGCTGAGGCGGAAGACTCAAGGCCAGGAGTTTGAGGCCAGCCAGGGCAACAAAGTGAGACCTCGTCTCCAAAAAATATATACATTGTTTTAAGACGGAGTCTCGCTGCATTGCCCAGGCTGGAGTGCAGTAGCACAATCTCAGCTCAGTGCAGCCTCTACCTCCTGGGCTCAAGTGATTCTCCTGCCTCAGCCTCCCCCAGGGACTACAGGCGTGCACCACCACGCCCAGATAGTTTTTGTATTTTTAGTAGAGATGGGGTTTCACCATGTTGGCCAGGCTAGTCTCAAACTCCTGACCTCAAGTGATCCACCCACCTCAGCCTCCCGAAGTGTAGGATTACAGTGTGAGCCACCATGCCCGGCCTTAAAAAATTCTTTTTCATTAAAAAAAAAAGTCCTGCCGGGCGCGGTGGCTCACGCCTGTAATCCCAGCACTTTGGGAGGCCGAGGCGGGTGGATCAAGAGGTCAAGAGATCGAGACCATCCTGGTCAACATGGTGAAACCCCATCTCTACTAAAACTACAAAAAATTAGCTGGGCATGGTGGCGCGTGCCTGTAATCCCAGCTACTCAGGAGGCTGAGGCAGGAGAATTGCCTGAACCCAGGAGGCGGAGGTTGTGGTGAGCCGAGATCGTGCCATTGCACTCCAGCCTGGGTAACATGAGTGAAACTCCATCTCAAAAAAAAAAAGTCCTGACTCTAGTCTCCCAGTGCCGGCACCCTCAAGACACCTTCCCGTATTTCTGAGGGAGCAGCACCCAATGCCAACCTCCCCGCTTCCAGCCCCACCTGCCCACACTGGGTCTGCACCCACCTCCAGCCTCTGCTTGGTGTCAGCCCCCAGGAGGTCCCGGACATCTTCATTGTAGATCTCCAGGTAGGAGGCCCGGACCAGAAACTTGGTGTTCTCTGCACACTGCAGGGAGTACACAGAAACAGACATCAGAGCTCCGAGGCGACCTGCTGCCAGGCCTGACACTGGGACCTGTCCCTCTGCCGCCAGAACATCATGGGAGAAGAAGGGAAATCAGGGCCAGAGGAGTCCCCAATCCCACCTGCCCTGCTGGCCCTTCTAGCAAGCTCAATCCTCGTCTCCAGCCTGGTGGGTGCTCAGGCCTCTTTGAGTTGCATAATCCTCATACTGCTCGCTAATGCTTTGTCTAGAATCCTCATGGGAAAGGAAACAGAGGCCTCCGCGTTATTCAGGTAAAGAGGAAAAAAAGAAAAAACCCTGGTCAGCCTGGTGGCTCACACCTGTAATCCCAGCACTTTGGGAGGCCGAGGCGGGCAAATCACTTGAGGCCAGGAGTTCAAGACCAGTCTGGCCAACATGGTGAAACTGTCTCTACTAAAAGTACAAAAATTAGCCAGGTATGGTGCTGGGCACCTGTAATTTCAGCTACTTGGGAGGCTGGGGCAAGAGAATCGCTTGAATCTGACAGGCAGAGTTGTAGTGAGCCAAGACCACACCATTACACTCCAGCCTGGGTGACAGAACAAGACTCTATCTCAAAAAACCTGAGGCCACAGGGAAGGCCTAGGGTAAGCACCGGCTCTGGGCTGGTCCCTGGCAGCTCTCCGAGGCCTTACATGTTGCTGTGGCCACCACGATGAGTCCCGGGAGCGGCACAGTGGGCTCTGCAGCTGCCCAGGGTCGCTTTCCCCACTTCACCATTCCCTGTGCACTGCCGCAGATGGTCAACAGGCAACTCTCACCTGCAGCCTGGATGCTGGGATGAATTCAGAGTCCAGTCTCATCTTGGCCCATAAAGGCTCAGAGTCTCAACCTCCCTCTCTCAAAAATGGGGCTACCAGCTACCTACTGGGTCAGGCTAGAGATTCAGTGAGGTAAGGATGCCAAGGGCTTTGCACACGGCTTGGTCCATAACAATTGCTCAATAAAGAGGGGAAGCTGTGAGCGTTACAACCCCTTCCCCCCACCGCCGTGCATAGGGTCAGCAGAACCACAGGAAATGCTGAACTAAGGGTCAGAACCCAACAATGATGGAAGAAAAGCATGGACAGAATTTTCTCTGTTTTAAGTGTTTTCCCCCCACCTTTTCAGAACCTGGAGCCTTCTCTGCTGATGTGCGTGGGGTCAGGCCAGGCTCCGATCACTTCCCGTGTCCCTGCCACCCGTCAGAAGTGCTCTGGGGCCCAGCTGCAGCTCTGGCCCTGCCCCTGCCCTCCGCGAAGCCCACACCTGGACACTCTCGAACACGTGCTCGAAGGCCCTGGGGATGATGCCTCTCTGGGAGGGCGGGTCCAGCAGGCCCTGCATGGTGAAGGACTTCCCGCTGCCTGTCTGACCGTAGGCAAAGATGGTGCCATTGTAGCCCTCAGTGACGCCCTGCATGGGAGGAAGACAGGACCCCGTGCTCAGCAGACCAGGCACAGCAGGGCTCGGGCAGGGCCCCCTAACTCACCAACTCGGAGCCCTCCCTGGTCCCCCCACCAACAATGGCACTGGAGTGTGGACATAAACAAGGCCCAGCTCTGTCTCAAGGAGCTGACTGTCTGGTGGGGTAGGAGCTGTCCTTGTCCCCTGTGCTGTGGGCATGGCCCCCTGGGCCCACATCCATCTCCACCTTTACTGACTGTGCACCCTTGGGGTGGCCTCACTGAGGCACATTGATAAGATGATAAGAACAACACCTTAGGCCGACCACGGTGGCTCATGCCTGTAATCCCAGCACTTTGGGAGGCCTGAGCTGAGGAGTTCGAGACCAGCCTGGACAACATGGTAAAACCCTGTCTCCACAAAAAATACAAAAAATTAGCTGGGCATGGTGATGTGCACCTGTAATCCCAGCTACTCAGGGGGCTGAGGCAGGAGAATTGCTTGAGCCCAGGAGGTGGAGGTTGCAGTAAGCCGAGATCACGCCATTGCACTCCAGCCTGGGTGAGAGTGAAACTCTGACTCAAAAAACAAACCAAAAACTCCGACACCTTAAAGGGTAAGACTGGCACCCACTATGAGGCTCCTGCAGGGTACGAATGGGGTTATTTTGTGCATTGGCACAGGAAGTGCCGCCACACACAGGTGCTCCATCTGCCTACAGTGCAGGGAGCCGGACCGCACAGGTGACTCTCATGGCAGGCTACGGGGCGAGGCACACAGCCACAGGAGTCCAGGCAGCAAGCAGGTAGGGGAAGTGCAAAGAAGGGAAAACAGAACAGTGTGGAAAGAATGAAGCACAGCTTTCCAGGTGGCAAAGACAGGGAGAACTGGAAGCTGGGAGTGGGGCTCATACTTTGCCAGGTGACAGAACAGGGAGGCATTCCAGGCTGAGAGGAAAGCTTAAATAAAGCCACACAGGTGAGGTGTGGAGAGCAGGAGGGACGGGGAGTGGTGGAAGATGAGGCCTGGAGGGAAGAAAAGAGGCAAACCTGGTGCCGTTTCCAGTCACTCTTCATTCATCCCTGTTTCTACCCATTGGACAGGGCCTGACCATGCTCAGTCTAGGGACAAAGTGGTGAACGAGGCGGACACAGTCCCTGCCCTTGCAGAGCTCATGAGCTCCCAAATTCTAGAACTTAGTATGGGCTTGGGTGGGTCCTGTGTGGGCAGATCGGCCTAGAGAACTGAGACCCCCAAAGGCCCACATGGCATCTATGCCCAGTTTCACTGCAAAGACCCATGCTGTAACCCAAACAGGGCTGGGTGTGCCCCAACCTGCCAGTGAGGGAAGATGAAAAGTCACCATTCAGCAGGACGTGGTGTTTCATGCCTGTAATCCCAGCACTTTGGGAGGCCAAGACGGGTGGACCACTTGAGGTTAGGAGTTTGAGACCAGACTGGCCAACATGGTGAAACGCCGTCTCTACTAAAAATACAAAAATTAGCCGGGCGTGATGGCACACGTCTGTAATCCCAGCTGCTTGGGAGGCTGAGGCACGAGAATCGCTTGTACCCAGGAGGCGGTGGCGCTGTGCAGACCCGGAGGCGACACTAGATGCAGGCTCGGGTGTGTCCCGCCTGGACAAAAGCCTCCGGACCCACCTGTTGCTGCCCCTCGAGGGCCTTTCCGCCCAGCTGGGGAGGCAGCACCGCCCGCTAGGGACCCTCGGGGAGGCCCGATGCCCTGCCGTCTGGAGGGCGGCCTGCCGGGCGCCCTCACCTCCACCAGCGGGTAGGCGATCTCGTTGTAGATCTGCTCGGTGACGTGGTCCACGTGGTAGGCGCCGTCGAAGGTGAACTGCTTGGGCGGCTCGTCGGCGGCGCGCGGGTTCTGGATGCAGCACTGGCCGCGCGCGCAGTCCACAGCCACCACCGGCTGGCAGCGCAGCTCCCGCTCCCGCTGGTTCATGGGGCGGCAGCGCACGACCACCTTCACCGCCTCGGAGGCCATGGCGCCGCGCCCGGAAGCCCCCGGGCCAGAGCCGACCCCCGCCCCGCCGGGGACTCCGGGCCGCCCGGGCCAAGGGGCGGGGCCAGCGCCGGCCACTGGGGCCGGAGCCTTGCGGCGGGGGCGGGGACTCCTCGGGGGGCGCCCTGAGGGGAGCGGGGAGTCGCAGGACCCGAGCCGGGGCCGCCGCCTCGTCCCGCGCCCGGGCCCGCCCGTCCCTGAGGCCCAGCCCCGGCGAGGACGTGGGGAATCCGCGCTGCAGGCGCCGCCGCCGCCGCAGGACCCGAGCCCGGAGCCGCCCCACCCGCCAGCCCGCGCGCTCAACGCCGCGGCGTTCGTGGTTGCTGGGCAACGCTCGTGGCGTCACAGGTGCGGCCCCGAGAACGCGCGGCCCAGCATCGGACTTCGCCCGAGTGATCCCTGGGCAGCCACGCGCGGCCACCTGCGGGAAGGGCTAGCCTTGGCTGGGTTCCTTTCGCGTCCGCTATCTTCTAGAATCCGCGAAGCCCCAGTTCAGAGAGGTTACGCAGCTTGCCGGAGGCTGTGGCTAAGACTAGGAGCCCAGGCTTGACTCCACCTCAGGGCTAAAGAAATCCCAGGCCTCACGCACGGTCCAGGGACCCACTGAGAAAAGCTGCAAGGACCTGTTACCCATTATCCAAGTCCCCGAACTGGCTCAGGGGAAGGCTGCCCACAATCCACAGCCCCTGGACAGCTTCCTCTCATTATTTCTAAGCGTCCCCTTGTTATTTCTAAGACGCGAGATTGTAAAACAAACACTTTAGAAACCAAGTATTTTGGGCCGGGCGCGGTGGTTCACGCCTGGAAGGCCTAGGCGGGTGGATCACCTGTCGTTAGGAGTTCGAGACCAGCCTGGCCAATATGGAGAAACTCCTTCTCTACTAAAAAAACAAAAAATTAGCCGGGGGTGGTGGTACATGCCTGTAATCCTAGCTACTCAGAAGTCTGAGGAAGTCTAAGGCGGGAGAATCACTTGAACCCAGGAGGCAGAGGTTGCAGTGAGCGGATATCGCACCATTGCACTCCAGCCTGGGCAAAAAGAACAAAATTCCATCAAAAAAAAAAAAAAAAAAAAAAGCCAAGTCTTTTGGATGGAAGGCTGCCTGGCCTATCCCTCCTAGCCCAGTGCAAGTTCCCCAGCCAAAAGAGCACCTCTGTCACACCTCTGGGCTCTTCCTTGCACTAACACTGAGCGCCAGCTACATGACAGGCACCATGACAGATGCTGGGGAGACAGCCCTCCTGGCCCATGATCTCGCTGGAGAGACAGACACAAGAAACAAAATCCCGTAAATGAAAGTGTAATTACAAACTGAAGAATCCATTCCATGCAACTTTTTTTTTTTTTTAAACAGGGCCGGCCCTGTCACCCAGGCTGGACTGCAGTGGCACAATCATAGCTCACTGCTGCCTCAACCTCACTGTCTCAAGCAATCCTCCTGTCTCAGCCTCCGAGTGGCCACTTGTTTGAAGAGATGGGATCTCACTTTGTTCCCCAGCTGGTCTCCAATTTCTAGGCTCAACTGATCCTCTCACCTCAGCCTCCCAAAATGCTTGGATTATAGGCACTGCGCCTGGCCCACAGAACATCTAAAAAAAAGGAACCTCACTCAGCCCATGGGGTAGGGCAGGCATCCTGTGATTGACTGGAGCTGAAATCTGATGGCTGAGGAGTGAACAAGGTGAAGGCAGGGGAGGAGGGGGCCACCAGTCCGGGCTGTGCAGAGGTCCAGGGGCATGCTGCAGAGGCAGAAAGCAAGCCCAGGTTGCCAGTGCAGAAGGACTTGAGTCTTTGGGCCAGGTATGGCGGCTCACGCCTGTAATCCAAGCACTTTGGAGGCCAAGGCGGGTGGATCACCTGAGGTCAGGAGTTCCAAGACCAGCCTGACCAACATGGTGAAACCCCATCTTAAAAAAAAAAAAGAAGGACTTGAGTCTTTTTCCTATAGACATACCCACTGAAGGTTACAGCAGAAGAGGAATGTCATTTGATTGAGTCTTCCTGGCCAATTCCTTCTGAGCCTTGAGGATGGGACCTCTGGTTCACCATTCAGCACGAGCTGAAGGTATAGTTGGCAAAAACAAAACAGGGAAACGACAAAGACCTCACCCCTCGAAGGAAAGAAGTCTGTACCAGACTGAAGCAACACATTTTATTTGTTTCAAGTCCACACAGCAAGGAAAGCGGGGCTACCGAGGTGGTGCTGATTTGAACAGGGGAAACTGTGGTCTGATGAAGACATGAAAGAGTCTGCAAATGGGGGCTGAAAGCCCCGCCCGCCCTGTAACATGAGATCCATCATGCTGGCTGAAGCGATGCTGAAGTGCTTAGTGGACACTGGTCCCTTCAGTGTGGCAAACATGCCCCTGGTAGCTTCTCCACACAGGTAATTCACCAGGAAAACCAGGCCCGAGTCTGGACCAATGACCAGGTCTCCTGAAGTGTCCATCTCTGGGCTATAATCCTAGGCCCAGGACATTGCTAAAGCCCTCTCTCCTTGCAAGGGGAATGTGAGGCTGGGGCCAGCGGTTTGTCCAGGAAGGGGATGGTTCTAGTACAGGTGGCTGTCAGATAGAGTCCCAGCTTCCCACACACAGTCAGCATAAAACCAGTGCTGGCTTTCCAGGGACAAGAAGCCCCAAAGGGCAGTTTCCTTCTATCTTTTGTGACAGGATAGTTCACCTGACTTGCAAGGAAATGACAAGGTCCCAAGCCAAAGACCTGTCCTTGCTGGAGAGTTGGAGATGGGGAACACGAGGCCTGGGCCTCTGTTCTCACCCCCCAAGTTTGCCTCCCTTCTTTCTGCTTTGGTGGCGCTGCCTACTTCCTTCCAAGCGTCAGAAATCTGTTACTTTCAAGGCACTGAACAGTTCTGCACCGCTCCCACGTGGGGAGAGGGCAGCCCCCAGGCTCAGGATGCGGCTGCTGCTTCAAGCAGAGAAGTTCATCCAAAATGAACCTGTCCTATCACTTAGTTCAGTAGATTCACATTTGTCAAGTTTGCTTACAAAGAAGGATACCTGGGCTTGTCGGTCACTGGCGGGACCACTATCTCACACTAGAGTCGTTTCCCTGGGTCTCCCGTGGCCCGCTGAGGCCAAGCACCCCTGGCAGGGCCCACATCAGGTCCACCCTTGGACGGTTCTGTTGTGACTGACCCCATTCCCAGTGGAGCTGGCAGGTGAGGCAGGGTGGCCCCTGGCAGCCACGGGTCAGCGCCATGTTAAGGGGAATGCCGGCATCAGACAGCCTCCCTCCCAAGGCAGACCACGGGCGGGCGAGTTGGGAAGGGCCCTGGCCACCCCTCTAAACCTGCAGCTCACTGCCGGCCCCTGCCTGTGGAATGGCTAAAGGAAGTGAGCTGGGGTGGGGGTGTCCTGGTGATTCCTGGGTAGAGTGTGAGCCTGGGCCTCCCTTCTGAGAGAGAAGGAAGCACAGCACTGAGGTTTGGGTGGAGCCGGCATGGAGAGCTTCGGCCTGTCTGCTGGTGCGCGTTGCTTTCTGCACACAGGAGGCCCCCCCCCACCGCCCCGGCGTGAGCACTGGGCACTGCTCTGTCCCTCCTGCCCTCTCTGCAGCTCCCACCCATCCTTCGCTCTCAGACACAGCCCTGCTCTGTCAGCCCGGATGGGGCTTGGCCCCAGCCTCCTGGCCACAAGCTCCACAGAGCGGTCTCTGCTCAGGGACAGGGCGGCTCCCCCAGGTCTTTGCCCAGAGTGAGAACTCACTGCTGCCTCCCCAAGCCCCCCACTCTCACTCGTCTCATGAGCTTTCTGGAGACTTCCAGTCAAGGCCCCAAGGCCTGGCCTCCTTAGGGGAGGGCCGCACCTCTGCCATGAACAGACTCCTGGCCCAGGACAAAGCGGAAGCCCAGAAGTCCCAGCATCCGAAGCCACCCGACAGCTTATCCGGCTCATGCCTGCGACTCCACCTGCCCTCCTGGAATCTCAGCGGGCCCCACGTTCTGCGAGAAGCCAGTGGTGATACCCAACCTCAGGGTGCCCCTCCCACGGACAGTGAAGCGATGGAGACTGCTCCAAGGGCAGGGTGACTGGATGGAACTGGCGACCAGAGGGTGCAAGATGGGCAGAGAGGCTGCTGGGGCCCCGGAGCCAGGGAGCGGCGGGGCCTGTGGGACGGGGCCCTACCTCTTAGCCCAAGCCCTGCAGCTCTGCCTCAGATTTGGCATGGCTGAGGGGCCGGAGAGTCCGGGGCGGCCTGCCTGGGGGCCCACAGTCCTGCTCCTCGTAGGTAGGATTCCGGCGGCCCATGTCGAGGGGGCAGAAGAGGCTGCGCTCGGTAACCGCGTGGTTCTCCACCAGAGCCTCTAGACTGGGGAACTCCGCCGGCAGGTGCTGGTGGAGGAAGGGGCTTCAGCTCCAGTCCCCTTCCCCAGGGCTCAGGCCAGGCACCAGCCACCTGCTCCCATAGGAGCCTGCCCACTTTAGACAGCAGCAAACGGAGCCCAGAGACTTCAAGTGGGCTGCCAGGGCAGAACCAGGCACCATTCCCTCTCTCTCTTCCCAGCTTGGGCGGGACTGAGAGGTTTAGCTTGGAAGTAAGGGCGCACATGTGAAAAGCCTCGCCACCCCCTCCCCGTCCGAGAAACCAGGGTGGGTGGGGCAGGACAAGACATCACACTGGAGACTCAGAGGCTGTGTGAGCTTAGGCAAGCTCCTGCCCTCTCTGAGTCAGTTTCCTCCTCTGCTAAGATGGGCTAGGATATGGGAAAGCCAGGATTCCTGCAGAAATGTTAGACATGACCCCAGCTCAACACTCTGTTATAGGTACCTTTTGAAGCCCCCTCTGGAGAGAGGGGCCCTCAGTGACCAAGGACCTCCCTTGTCCTCCAAGAGCTTCAGGTCAGAGCAGAGCCAGAAGAGGTGGGGCAAAGTGGGCCAGCTGGGGGCGAGGCCGGCAGGGCCAATGAGGAAGGAGCGGGACGGTAGAGGCAGGATGGAATTGGATGAGGGGCGAGGCCAGAGAGAGCCAATGGGGGACAGGGATAGGGGTGAGGCTTCAGGACCTCAGCAGTGAGAAAAGGGCAGGGCAGGAAGGGGCAGGGATGGAGCAGTGGTGGGGCGGAGCCCAGACCCTCTGGCCGCTGCACTCTTACCTCCACACAGTAGCGGCCCAGGTGGTTCCGGAAGACCTGGTGGGGCACCACACCGCACTGCGTGCGCACGGACAGGCACCACTGGCCGCTGGCACCCGGCTCAGGCCACAGCAAGAAGGCCCCAAGCACGTCTCTCCGTAACAGGGCCAGGGCACAGGGCCTAGGGGCACAGAGGGGACAGGGTGAAGGCAGCACTGCTCTCCTGGGCACCGGTCACAACAGCCCCTACACATCCAGGCGGCCTGCGGATTAAATGCCCTTAAACACACGGTGCGTTGGTCAGGCACGGTGGCTCATGCCTGTAGTCCCAGCACGTTGGAAGGCCCATGCAGGAGGATCACTTGAGCCCAGGAGTTCGAGGCTGCAGTGAGCCATGATGGTGCTACTGCACTTCAGCCTGGGCGACAGAATGAGACCCTATCTCTAAAATAAAATTTAAAAACAAAAAACAACAACAAAACCCAATATGGGGCCTGACTCACAGTCAGCCTCAACAGAAAGAAGCTTTTAGAAGCTTAAAAGGTTTCTCCAGGGTCTGTAATTGTTGGCAATGTCAAGACAGCCTCAGGAGACAGGCTTAAAGCGTGGACGCTTAGGGGGCTGCCCTGTGCAGGTCAGGTGCTGAGGGCTCCCCCTGGATGACCTCACTGACCCTCTCCACAGCCTTAAGATGAAGCTCCTTTCATTAATCCCATTTTACATTTGAGAAAACAGAGGCCCAGGGTGGTGAAGTCCCAGGCCTGAGGTCACCGAGGTTGGGAGCGCTCTGCCCAGGCACAGGAGTGTGTGCCTCAGGGACTGGGAAGCCCACACTTCTCTGCCCACCCCAAGGAACTGGGCGTTGGACCAGGCCAGGCCCTTCCTACCTGGAGATGCCAGCGAAGGCCCAGATATTCTCTGTCAGGCTGCCCTCGCTCTCCACCAGGCATGCATGGCCCCCAGGACCCCGTGGCCAGGCCTCCCACGCGGCAGGAACTGTGGAGACCGTCAGGACTCAGGAGAGTGGCTGAGTCCTCCTGTTCCCTTGGCCGCAGGCCTCATCACACACGGGGGTGTCCTCCCCAGCCCTCTCTGCCCTGCTCAGCAGACACATCCGCACACAGGCCTTCCGCCCGCCAGTTCTCGTCCATTCACAACTGTCTGCAGTCCCCTGTGCACAGACCCCAATGCACGCGCACGCACACACACACACACAGGCACACGAGCGCTCACGCCCACCTCTGGCTGGCCCAGGAGCACACAGGCACGGTCCTGGTGCACACAGGGCAGGCGCACTCCCACAACTCACAGGCCTCCCGAGCCGACAGCTGCAGCTGGGTCTCGTAGGTGCAGCCGCGGTAGGCCCCCGAGCGGATCACCTTGCTGCGAATGGCCTTCTTGCGCACCAGCGTGGGTGAGCAGTAGGGATTCCCCAGGCGGGCATGGCGGGCACGGCCTTCCGACTCTGGCAGCTCCTTCTAAGGCACCAAGAGGGGCCCACGGGCAGGTAGGCTCACGTCCAGCCATGTCAGGCCAAGTGAAACCCCTGCCCCTGACATGCCCCCAAACCCATACCCACTTCCCTTGTCCACTGCCCACTCCTTGGCTGGGGTGCTGCGTACCCCACTGCCCACCAGCCCCTCTGCTGGTAGCCGCCGGAAGGAGACCAGCGCGTGAACATTCTGAGAGAGCTGATGGCGACCAAAGGGCTCCCGCACCAAGCCCCCAGAGGGACCTCCAGAACTGGACAGTGGCTTGAGAGACACCTCCCCTGCGGGCCCTGGGCAGGGCTCGGGCTGGGCCCGCTCCTCAGGGTGCTGCAAGAGGTAAGCCAGCTGGAAAGAGCGGCACAGGAGCAAGTGCAGGGTCTGGACCTGGGGGAGGGAGAGAGGTGGGCTCAGTGGGAGGAGGTCTCCGTCTCCCAGGGAACTCACTGGGCCTCAACCCACCCACCATGGGTGCACACAGCCCCTTGGCTTTGGATGCTCTTCCCATTCTTCCTGGGAAAACTCCTACTTCTCCTTCAAAGCCTCACCACCATGCAGGCTCCTCCACCAGCTTCCTTTATTTATTTAATGAACACCGAGGGCCTGCTGTGCTGCAGGACAATGGACGCTGAGCTCAGGCGCTCCTGCCCCCAGGTCCCCCCAGCCCTGCACATCGAGTCAGCACCCTCTTCCAGGAATAGCCCGGAGCCCAGGCCTGAAGTCAGAACCCGGATTCCAATCCTGGCTCTGTCATGTAGGAGCCGCTGTGTGACCCTGGGCAGAGCATGGCACCCCCCTGTGCCCCTTTGAGGAGTCAGTGAAATGGAGCACAGGAAACTCCCAGAGCAGGCCCAGTGCTGTCAGGAGCAGCGCATCCCACGTGCCACACACACCGTCCAGGCCCAACGTGTTAGAACCCTGAGTGTCAGAAGATCAGGGACCACATCTCAGCTACCTGTCACCCCAGTATCCAGCACAGGGCTGGATATACAGGATGACAGCAAATGCTCGCTGGTCAGAACCAAACCCAGCATCTGCCTGCCGCGCCTGGCCGCCGAGGCTCTGTCGTTCACCATTCACGACAGCCGGGCTGGCTTTGACTTTCTGATCTACCTGCCCACCCCGACTGCTCTGGGCCAAGTGCTGTCTCAAGACCTGGTCCAGACTCTGTCCTCAAAGAACACAAGTGCCTGTAATTAGAGCAGACGATAGTAGCGCGCAGTTCATGCCACAGGGCCCTAGAGAGAGGGGTCATCCAGAGGGGCCGAGGAGGGGTTCAGACACATGGGTTGAGCCCTGAAGAGTGAGTGGAATGCACCAAGATGAGAGAGGGGGTGTAAGGCAGAACGGCATGAGCAAAGGTCTGGCTGTGTGAATTTCCACTCTCCAGGCACGTGGCCAGGTTCCCACCCCTGGGCCCCAGGAAATGCTGAGGCCACTGACTTGCTTTGTGGTGTCCTCAGTGGGCAGAGCCACAGAAAGAGCCAATGTGGCGAGGGGTGTGTGCCTGGAGGGGGATCAGGCCACCCTGGCAAAGCCCTCAAGGAACCCACTCTGACGCCCAGCACATGGCTCCTCCGGCCTCCATGGCAGTCCCCTGCCTCGGGCCCCAGATACCTCTCCTGGCTGGCTGCCCATGAAGAGGTGGCAGAAGAGCTTGCTGGCTGGGCTCCGTGGGTTTCGGGCCATGAAGGCAAACTGGCAGTTGGCGGGGCACCAGGTGGAGTAGAGGATGCGCCTCAGAGCGTGCGCCATCAGCAGCACCTGGCAAGGCAGCAGCATGAGGCCCCCAGCAGACCCATCAGGTGGCCCCAACCCTGCTCGCCAGCCTGCAGGAGTGAAGAGACCTCCCTCCTTCCAGGCCCCCCAGTCTCAAGCCCTTGCCCTTCATGTTGTGGCCCCTGGGCTCAAGATCACCACCCCCATGTTATGCTCAGTCTGCTGGTGGCACAGAGAATGGGAGTGGTGACAGGCACTGGGGTGACAAGCCTGGTTCCTGGAGGCAGGTGACTGGGGTTCGAATCCTGGCTCTGCCACTCAATTGTGACTTGGGCAGGTGAGGGCAATCCTCTGAGTGCCTGTTGTGACGTGTCAGGTAGGGAGGTACCAGGACCTCTCGATAGGGCTGCTGGTGGGGATCAGTGGGACCTCATGTGAGTGGCACAGGACCTGACCCCAGGGCCCTGCAATGCCCAGCTCTGGGGACACCAGGTGTGCCTCAGTGGTAAGTGACTGATGCCCGTGGCTGTGGGGTGCAGTCTGGTGCACAGTTAGTGTCTGCCCCACGCTGGCTCAGCAGGAGGACGAGGCTGCAGCAGGCAGGGAGGAGGGGCAGTGGCCAGCCAGCAGCCCTACCGCGCACCTGGGTGAAGCTGCACGCGGCCCACCAGCGGGGCGGGGCAGCTGCCAGAGCCACAGTGGCTGGATGTTCCTGATGCTCAGGTGGAGCGGTGGCCCCCAGAAGGATTCTGGAGGCCCAGGGGTGGGAAGCTGCTGCCTGAGCTGGCCCTGGGAGGCAGCCCTCAGAGAAAGTCCAAAGGCCCAGAGCTGCTAGGCGGTCGCGCCAGGGGAAGCACAGGGGCCGAGCTAAGGCTAGAGGCCAGGACCTGGGTGGAGGAGAGCGCATCTGACGGTGGAGACGCCTGTACCCGTCCAGTCCTCACCCGTACCCCAGGGCCTCCTACCTCACCCTCCCCGCTGTAGATCTTGAGACCCTGCAGACTGAATTTCAGGATGACGGCACGGCGTCGGGGACAGTCCTGTGTGGAGAAGAGTAGTGGGGACGGGCACCACCTCCCACGCCCCGCTGGCCGCTCAGCCTCAGTGCCGTCTGCCAAAGGTTGTCAGCCCACTCTACCACCCCTGCCAGGGGGTGGGGTCATGGCTGGTGGAACCCTGGTGCTGGGAAAGTGTGGAAGGCTCTGGGCAGACCACCCCTAGCCACAGCCACCGCTGGCCAGGCTATGACCATCACCCACATCTTCATCTGTGGCTTCCGGCTGTGGGGCCCAGGTCTTAGCAGCCCAGGGCATAAGGGATGGGGCCCTGGAGTCTGGGTGTGTGTCCTGAGCAGCCCGCCACCAATAGGACCTGTGTCCTGCCCGTTTCTGGGCTTCTCTGCCCATCTCTAACATGGAGAGGGTGGAGCTGATCTGGTCTTCAAGGCTGTGACTTTCACTAGGGAAGTGCCCTCCCAGGCCACCCACCTTCAGCGCCCACAGCTGCTGCTGCACCAGCCACACGCTCTCCTGGGTGTCCAGGTCGTCCACGGGGAAGGAGCCCACGTACTGCTCGGCAGTGGGGCAGAGGGAGTGAGGCGGGGAGTCAGGCCCGTGGCTTCTGACCCCATCCTCCAAATGCCCCCCAAACACACATCTGCTGTGCTGCGCAGGCCATGGACAGACAGAGCTCAATCCTCAAAGCCCAGGCTCTGCTGCTTTCCCAGCAGGTGACCTTGGTCAGGTCACTGAGGCTGTCTGAAGTCCCAGCCCCTCATCAGGGCACACACACACTCCCCAGTCCACGTCAGGGAAGGAAGATGTGGAAATAGGTCCTTTACCCGCAGCACTTCCCACCACCAGCACCTGGACAGGGCAGCCCCACCCACCTGGGCAAACTTGGTGATGCACCTGGGCCGGTGAGGGGCCAGCCCGCAGTCAGAGGCCCTGCGGCCCCCAGCCCCCGACTTCTGCATGGCCCCCAGGGTATCTGGCTTCCAGCTCCACGGGAGGGGAGGCTGCAAAGGGCAGTGGGGAAGGGCTGCTTTCGAGGCAGGCAAGACAAGAGTGCCCCTCACTGGCCATCCATTCACGGGCTTCTTGCGCAGCTGCTGTGTGTGCAGCTGCTGTGTGTGCAGCTGCTGTGTGTGCAGCTGCTGTGTGTGCAGCTGCTGTGTGTGCAGCTGCTGTGTGTGCAGCAGTGCTGAGCAGCGCCCTGGCCATGGAGGAGCCAAGCCCGAAGAAAAAGATGACATCTCTGACTGCCCTCAGGGAGCTTCCATTGTTGTTGGGGAGAAGGACGTTGAACTAAATAGTAAGATTGATCATCACGAGACGGGGATGGAGCAAGGAGGAGACTGTAAACCGTCAGCTTCGGGGCTGACTGTTGCTGGGAAGCCCTCGCTGAGGAGGGAGGTTTGGGTCAAGATCTGAAGGGTGTGGCAGTACATGCCCAGGGTCCCTCACTCATTCACTCAGCAAGCACTGAGGAGCCTGGAGCTCTGGGCTGGGGCCTGTCCCCAGGGGGTGGAAGTCAAGGGATGGACCTGTAACCAGCTTGCACAAAGTGCCAGAGGGAAGCGAGGGCCACCTGAGAGGGCACCATCGAAAAGAGAAGGGCAGTGACACCCACAGAAACAGAGTCTGCAAAGGCACAAAGGAAGGGAGGCAGCGGGGCCCGCAGGCCAAACTCAGGCCTTCCAGAACAACAGGCTGGATCCAGTTTGGGATCAGCCTTAGATGCCAGACTAGGGAATTCAGACTCCACCCTGTGGGTAGTGGGGAGCCATAGCAGGTTCTAGGGCAGGAGCTCCGTAGTTCATGAAGATGGCCTCGAGCTGGATGGCCAGAGCTGATGAGGCTAGGGACCTGCTGCAGGACCCCTGCCTCACTCAGCCCAAGCCGGACTCCAGTCCCTTCCTGAGCCCCCCAGCCCCTTGCAGATCATGAAAACCAGAACTCAGCCAGACAGTGCACTGATGCAGACAGGGTATGGGGAAGGAGAACTGCCCTGGGAGCTAAGGAGCACCCACCCACCACCCAGCCCACCCAGGTTCTAGTCTTTCCTAGGGTCCCTCTCCCACATCCAGTCGTCGAAGAGAGGAGTGGACCCCCCTTAGTTGACTGTCCTCAAGGGCAGGGAACATACCACTTCCCATGAGAGCCCAGGATGCAGCTGGTGTTCAATTAATATGGAATTAGACTTGGGATCAGAGAGTCCTGGGTCCACATCCTGTGGGACTTTGGGCAAGCTGCCTCAACCCTCTGAGCCTCCCTTTCCTCATCTGCAAACCTGGGTCACGTGAGGGGTAGATGAGGACTGAATGGAGGAGCCGAAGCCCAGCCCGACGCCAGCCAGGCTTGGACCTGAACTCAACAGAGCCTGGGGCTCAGGAGGGAGCCTGGGAGGACACTTCTGCTCCCCTCCTTGCCCTTGGCCACACCGACAGGCGCCCACCCAGGGTGGGAGGGCCAGGCAGGGGAGGCCTGCCTGGGGACTCTGATTCCCACCACAGAGAGCAGGTATCCATCAGGGCCCTGGGCAGCAAGGACGGGTCCCTGGTGTGCTCCCGCTTAAGGAGGCAGGCTAGGGGGCTTTGGAACTGACTCTTAGCACCAAGAGACTGGGAAGGACCCATCTCTGCCTGCCCATGATCTTTAGCCCCAGGCTCAGGCCAGGGTGGAGGTGCCTGCAGCGGTCCACTTTCAGTGAGCAGCCAGGAGCCAGAAAAAAAACGCTGCACCTGCGCCGTCCCCTGAGGCTTCCTGCTGCCCCTCCTATCCTGGTTGCCCTCCTGCTTTTCTGGGCCATTGCATCCTGATCATTTTCACATCATATTCTTTACCTACTGTACCTTTTATGTTTAAATAAAGCAAAGTTAGATGTGCAACCGGCGCTAAAGCCTCATGACATCGCTTCCAGGTAAGGAGGGGGTGGGAGGGGGCTTCCAGTGAAGCCACCTTTCAACTTCACAGTCACATCCTGGGGCCAGGACTGGCCAGGATGGTGGCCAGTGGGGAGGGAGGAGGCAAAGACCACACAATGAGGAGAAAAGGAGAGGGAAGGTATGGAGGATGGAGGGGTGGCTGGGACAGAGGAAGGAGCAGAGAAGGGCAAGAAAGACAAAGCAAAGGAGAGAAAGGAGAGCTGTGGGGAGGAGGGGGGAAGGGCACATTTCCCATTCTGCAGGGCGGTTGCTGCCCCTCCGGCACCAAGTGTGAGATGGGGAGGAGCCGCTCAGGCATCTCACACTCACACGTGCACACAGCTGTGTCCTGGGCTGCAGCAGCCCCTCCCTCCACACCCAGAGCTGCAGCTTTAGGCATCCTCAGTGTCCCAGGTCTGGGGGTGCGGAGGCCAGACCACTGGCCCTCTTAGGGGCCCCACCCCACCCACCATCACCTGATCCTTCCCCATCTCCCCGGTCCTTTTGGAAACTAGAAGTTCCTCCCTCCTTCCTAAGCCTGAGGGGCACTATGCATTCAGCTCAGGCCTGGAGTTGGGGTGGGGGCTCCCAGGGGACCAGGGAGGGCATAGGGCTCTCTCTAACCAGAAACAGACACCCATTCCAGGCACAAAACACCCACTGATCTCTTTGGGGCAGACCTGTTTTTCTGAGGTTTTACACTGGAATCTGACTGGGCCAGCACCTTCAGAAGGGGACACATTCGGGATGAGGATGGGGCTCTCCTCTGAGGTTTTCCAGGTGGTGCTGCTCAGAGACAGGAGACAGGATGGGATGGCCTGCTTCGTGGGTCTGGTGCAGAAGCCCTCTGGGGCACTGCACCATAGCTTAGTTGTGTCACAGGGAAACCACCAGCCCGCAGACCCTGGGTCAGCAACCGGTGGCTCAGAGGGGGTAAGTCACTTGCCCATGGTCACACAGCTTAAGTGGGAGAGCAGGGAATCAAACCCATGTCTCTGGGGCTGCTTCCTCAGGCCATGGCGGGACTCCTCTCCCACAGATAAGCACGGTGTCTACTGCTGGAGTTTGTGGGGGGGGGGGGCCGCCAATCCACGAGGAGGTGAGCTGGAAGCCGCCTGCTGGGGAACTTGGGTGCTGCCTCCTGGCCGGAGGGTCTGGGGCTGCCCAACACCCACTGCCCAACACATGCCCACCTGCCCTGGGCAACAGCATCAGGGAAACCCAAGGATACCAAGCCAGGGTTCAAGAACTTGGACTGTGGGGTCTAACGAGGTTGGCTGGTGTGACCGTGGGCAAGCCACTTAGGCTCTCAGCCTCTAGGTCATCAGGTGTAGGGTGGGGATCCCCTGGAATAAGGATCTCTGGTCCTTCTTGGAATGTTTCCGCGGCTGACTGTGTGTCAGGCCCCGCCACTGGTGGACGAAGGTCCTCGTCCTCTATGGCACCCAGCTGGGGTGGTGGGGGCGGCAAAGGGGAGCCAAAGTGATGACAGCGGGGTGAGGAGAAGGCGAGGTGCGTGCGTGTGCTGGGGGTGCTGCTTCACGGCCTCTCGAAACAGGAGACACCGGAGGCGAAGTGCTGTTCCTGGGGCTGCAGAGCCGAGGCCCCCGAGGGGCGGGCGCGGGGGTGAGGGGCGGGCGCGGGGGTGAGGGGCGG